TTGAATGAAGATGGTAGATATATCATCAATTTTAAAAAAGGGATGTAGGTAGTTTTTGCTGTACTTTGATATATTAAAGAGAAAATTTAATGCTGACCTTCCAACAGCGTCTTAGCTGTAGGATGTATTGAACCATTGTTAGATTTTATAAGAGCTCTGGAGATTAATTGAAATAGAGTAATATGTTCATTTACATTTGCTGTTTGAAATGTAGCTATATTTTGTGTATGACTTTGATTATCCTATAGGAATCAAAGGTGCTTCAATTTATTATTGAAGTGTAGGGAAGAGTCGTTTATTTGAATTTTATTTTTCGTATGTGAACTTTTACCGGATATAATAAACTTGGTTTTTTCAGTGTTAAGTTTGAAATGTATATTTTGGCATTGTGACTGAACTTTATTAACCAGTCCTTGTAAACCAGAAAGAGTAGGACTTTGTAGAATTATATAGTCTTCATAAGCAATAATACCAGTGTATACATCATATACTGTTGTTCTAACTCTGCAATCTGAAACAATTTGATTTAATATACTTGTAATGTAAATATTATATAAATCTGGTGATAAAATTAATCCTTGATGCATACCTTGAGACAAACTAAAATAATTTGATTTATGCACAAGTTACAAGATATTAGCAGTACCCAATAAGTCTAGCGATTGTAGTGGGTGAACTACTGATAGCGGTAACTTTTTTTTGTAATAAAGTTTTTCAAACAACAAATCCAAGTTACAGCTATCGAATGTCTTACTTGCATCTAAACTAGAAACATATATTGATGAGTTATTATTATATGCCTCAAAATAGGCATGATATTAATTCTGCGATAGTTATTGAGATTATCAAGAGATTTTTTAAAAGATTTTACTACTGGAACAATTATGGATGTTGATAGGTACTCCGGCACCACTCCATTATTGAAGAAATCCTTAAAAAATTTTGAAAGCCATGTAAGTAGGTTATTGTTATAGGAGTATTAAAGATGTTCTGTAGTAATTTCGCAGGAATCACAGGATCTATTAGATCTAAGCTTAAGAATACGGGTTTCTATGTTGGAAGTTAATACTAGTATTTTATTAGGCTCATCTATGAGTTGTGGATAATGACGGTGTTTGTAATTGTCGTTGGTAATTGTGGTGGTAAAGCATTGAGAATGGTACTAAAGTTTTGTCTAAATTCATCTACAATTTCTTTTTTTATTTTGTTTTTTATAAATAGTGAAAATATGAGTCTTTAAATTTTATTTAGTTCTTCAGATATTTGTTCCAAAACTTTTGTGGATTACTTTTTCGATGGTATTAAATATTTTTAGTGAATTTATTGATTTAAGTTATGAGCTGCTTTTACAATTTAGTGGAAATTTTTATGAGCAAACTTGCATTTATTGAATGAAATCAATTCCTGGTGTTGTTATACTTTTTCCATTCCTTAAAGTGGAAAAAGAGAATATCTTTGCACCAGGGCTGAGGAGTTGGAGTTGTAACATTTTTAGCGAAATTGGAGTCGGAGTCGCTAAACAAAATTGTGACAATTGTAAAACTTCTTGGTAATGCACATGAATGTACAAAACATTTAATTAACCTTATGTCCATAATAAACCTCAAAGATTATTTCATTAATTTGTCAAAAAAAAAAATTTATTTTATCACATAATATTTTTTAAAGAATTTGAAGAATTTTTCAAAAATTTTGTTTTGTAGTTGGAGTGGTAGTCGGAGTTGTATTCAAAAAATTTCAACAATTGGAGCCAGAGTCATTACTTTTTTTTTACGACTCCACATCCCTGCTTTGCATGATTTAACTTCTAGTATATGTAATATATAATAATATCATACAGATTTATATTATATACATTTCTATCAAAATTGTCTTATATTACTTATATTATACTATATAAGTAATATAAGACAACAGCCTAAACGCCAACAAATCAATGAACTTTGATATTTTAGAAATGATTGATGTAAAATATCATAAATAATAAATTTCTAAAAACTTTTTCATAAGTTTTATAAACAATTTAAATTCATTTTGTAAACGCTAGTATGATTATGTAACAGTGCGTATTCATCTTTGCAATAATCAAGATGTTTAATAATAAGATATTAACTTTTTTACTTTAGATGAATTTTAGCTAAATTTAGTTACACTTTCTTAAAAAAATTGGTGAAACATATGCAGTGGTAAAAACCACTGCATATGTTACCACTGCAAATTTCGGAAACTTTTATTCAGAAAATCCTTTATATGTAAAATTGTTCTGTGTAAATCCAACTTTAATTTATGAATTTACATTTATAATGCTAACTATTTTGTCATAGTTTTTTATGGTTACAAATCAGGTTACGAAATCAGACAATCAGGATACGAATGTAAAAGATAATGTTACACAAACAAGGGCAAGATGAACAAGCGATAGACGGTATTCTAGGAAGATTTTTGATAATGCATAAACCAGAGAAAACAGTGATCCAAAATTATTGCTTATGAGTTTATTAAATTTATTAGTAATCTTTGAATCTTAGTGTTAACTTTCATTTTTTGCTAATGAGATAAAGTTTAAAAAATATTAAATAGAAATTCTTACTATAAAATTTCCACTGCAAAAAGCTTGATTATTTAATTTTTTTTTAAATATTGAAACGTAAACATGTATAGCACACAACCATTTTTTCTCTAAATCCCCATTATATGAAAACGTTTTATTTAAGTTTATAACTTTTATAATATAAAAGTAGTAATATAGTTTATAAACTTTAATAAAATTAAAATAGTTATAAAAAATATAAAAAATAAAACAAGGTCTTTTATAACTGTATCTTATTTATAAATTTCAAGACCTATATAGCTTTTTTACTCATACAAAGTTAAAAAATTATAACGTAATTTTAATTTATATTAGTTTTAAAACTTAAATAAAGTGAATTTACATTAACTAAATCAAAGAACTTATTAGTCAAGATTATTAGACGATTGTTAAACGTTTGTGTGTTTAGTTTCTGGTATATGCAATATATAATATCCTACAGATTTATATTATATACATTTCTATCAAAATTGTCTTACATTACTTATATGATACTATATAAGTAATATAAGACAATAGCCTATAATATATTATTTCATAGGCTAAGACATTTTTTGTTGCGTTTTTTATTAAAAGAAAAATAGTGCAAAGCAATGTTGTGCAAAAATGTATATACAAATGTTTTCTATACTAAATTTTATACTGGCTATCCAATATCCAAAAATGTATGTACAAATATGTTGTGTACATTAAATCTTATACTGGCTATCCAATATGTAAAATTAACAAATAATTGCTATTACAGAAACCTGGTTTGATGAGACATCGAAAATTTATTTGGAAGGATATTCTTTGTATAAACGAAATAGGGGTGATGGGCGTAGAGGAGGAGGAGGGGTTGCATTATATATACATAGCAAATTAATATCTTATGAGGTAAACGAAGGTATATTAAATAGAAGTAAAATTGAACAAATATGGATCATTATTGTTGCAAATGATAAAAAAGATTTAATTGGTAGCATGTACAGACCAAACGAACAAGTAGATATGCTTTGAGTCAAATATATTCACAGAAGCTTGTAAATTAGTAGAAATAAATAATTTTGCTGTCTTGTTAATTATTGCTGATTTTAATTTTTTAAATGTAAAATGGTTGAATGGATACGTTAGTGATATTTTAGTATTGAAGATTCTGTTGAAAATGAATTTACTAATATTATATATAAATGTTTTTTGTACCAACTCGTTTCAATTCCAACCTTTCAAAATACACAATATGTTACAAAAAACACCTTGGATCTTATTTTTATAAAAAACAATGAACAAGTTTATCAACTTGAGTCTAATCCAGTTCTAGGAAACACAAATCATGGAAATTTGGTGTTAACTTGTAAATTTAACCTTGATGCTATTGCAATGGAAAATTATCTAAAGTATAAATTTGATTACAGTAAATGTGACTATCCACAAATAAACCTAAGTATTGATAAAATTGACTGGAATTATTTATTTGATGGGTTATCAGTTCAATTTATGTATGATCTGTTTATTGAAAAAATTAGTCAATCATGTAATGCTTTCATTCCAATAATTCAAGAAAGAAAAAAAAAAATGATGAAGTAAGTCTTCTAGTAAGTTCAAAACAAAATTTGCGTTATCAAAATTTATCATAGACCTGGAAAGATTTGAAAAAAGTAATGAAATATAAAAATATTTGCAAAACTGTGAAAATAGAACCGCATAAAGCAAGATGTAACTATGAAAATGATCTTGTTGAAAAATCAAAGATAAATCCAAAACTGCTATATAAATATATGAATAGTCAATTAAACAAGTAATTAAAGCATTAAGAGATTAAACTGGTTACATAACAAATGATCAAAATGAAATTGTTGAAATTTTAAATAAACAATTTCAAGATGTGTTTACCATAGAAAATTCTTCAGAAAAGCTTGCACAAATCAAGAATTTAGGGGATATTAATGCAGTTAATATAGATTATTTTGATGTTTTAAGTAGTTGAAACATCTTGATATCAATAAAACATATGGAGTTGATTTTATAAATCCGTTAATTTTGAAAAATTGTGCGGATTCCATAGCATTGCCATTAACTTTAATTTTTAAATTTTAAAAATTTGTTAAAATTGAACTAACAATTCAATGTAGAGCAGCAAATATTACACCACTATTTAAAAAGGGAGATAAATTTAGCTAGATAAAAATAAAGCTGCAAATTATAGACCAGTGTCATTGACGTCAACTATTTTTAAAATTATGGAAGGTATAGTCAGAGATTGCATACAATCATATTTAATGAAATATAAATTTATATCAAAGTCACATAATGGTTTTGTTAAAGGGAAGTCTTGTACAACAAACTTATTAGAGGCGTTGAATTATATTTAATTTAATTTATCAATAGGTATTTCGGTAGATAAAACACTTTTAGATTTTGTTAAAGCTTTTGATTCTGTTGCTCACAAAAGACTATTGATAAACTATTTTCATATGGAATTAATGGTTTATTATTAAAATGGATTGAAGCTTTTTTAAAAAACAGAATTCAAAGAGTTATCCACGGTGATATTGTTTCTTCATGGCGCAAAATTTTCAGTGGTGTTCCGCAAGGAGCCCTAATAGGGCCCTTATTATTTGTTATTTTTATTAATGATGATATATCAAATATATTTAAAAATAAGTCAGAATTGTATGCAGATAATACAAAAATTTGTTCAAAAGTGAAAGAAATAAATGTTGAAAACAGCTTGCAAAAATATCTGAATAGTGCAGAGGAAAGGTCTATAAAGTGGCTTTTGGGTTTTAATTCTAATAAATGTGTTATAATGCATTATTGTTTTTATAATCCCCGATTGAAATATACTTTAAACGGTATTGAACTGAAAGATTTTGAATGCGAGAGAGATTTAGGTGTATATTTTTCAACAAACTTAAAATGGAAAAAACAAATTATATCAAGTACTTCTAAAGCAAATTTAATGATGGGTATGTTTAAGATGACATTTTCACGAATTGATGCAAAATTGGTTAAAATATTGTATAAGGTATTTATTACACCTCTTATTGAGTTTGCAGTACCTGTTTGGTCATCTTATTTTAAAGGAGACATATCACTTTTGGAAAAAGTTCAAATCAGGATGACTAGATTAGTTCCATCATTATGGAAAATTAATTATGAAAAGAGATTAAAAATATTAGATATATCTACATTGAAAACAAGGAGGGACCGTGGAGATTTAATACAAGTGTTTAAATTACTAAACAGATTCGAGGTAATTGATTTAATTAATGAACCAAAGCTTGAAATTGATTCAATTACTCGAGGTCACAATCTTAACTATGAAAGAGAAACTGTGAACTATTTACCTCTGCATCATTTTTTATTAAATCGTACAGCCAATTTATGGCTGTACGATTTAATAAAAAATGATGCAGAGGTAAATAGTTCACTTAACGCTTTACCGGAAACTGTTACTTCAAAAACTGCCAATCAATTTAAGAATAGATTAGTTAAGTATAATGCCAAATCACAGAAATTTTAACTAAACATTTTTTAATATATATTTGGATTAATGCTGTCAAAGTGTGATAAACCACACTCGTTGGATTCGTCTAGTTACAGCTTAACTACTAACTAACATTATGACATATCAATTCATTTGATTAATCTTCTCATCTCTATTAAAATATCAATTCATTTAACTGGTGAAAGTTACTTTATCCTTTTTTTTTTCTTTTCATATTTTCATATTTTTACTTATTTTACCTGTCCCCTTATGTTTTCCATTCTTAAGCTCAATTAAAAATTTCAGAGTATAACTAAAAAATATATTTGTACTATAATTTATTAAATCTATATTTTAGAATTATTATCTATTATTACCTATTTTTATGAATATGAAAATTAATTAGTCAGTTTACTAATTAATTAGTTTTTTTTAGATTAATTTAGAATTTAAAGGCTCTGAACAGATAATAAAACTTGAATGATCACAAACTGCTTGTGTATGACCATTCAAGTTTTATTATTATTTATTTGTAATTTATTATTACCTAAACTTTCTAAATTTGAAAATTTTTCTTACTAATTAATTAGTTTACTAACGATTAATTTACAATTTCATTCATTCCAGTTCAAGTTTTATTCATTCAGTTAAAAAAATAAAAAATTCAAAATTCAAAAAACTAAGTAACAATAAATAAATGTGCGTACCTGTTTTTCTAGCGAATGCAATATTTAACCCTGGTTGATAATCATTAGAACTTGTAAAAACATTTTTAACAAACATTGAGGAACAAAGTCTTAAACATTTTAGATGAGAGAAGCATTTGTTAATGTAAGTTGCCAGTGCATAGTGCATATCAAAAACAAGTAGGGTCCAATAAGCAGATTTAGGAACAGTCAGACACTTTTCTGTAAAAGTTTATTAAATAGCTAATAAAACAGGAATGCATACCAACATATATATATATATATATATATATATATATATATATATATATATATATATATATATATATATATATATATATATATATATATATATATATATATATATATATATATATATATATATATAAATATATATATATATATATATATATATATATATATATATATATATATATATATATATATATATATATATATATATATATATATATATATGTTGGTATGCATTTATAAATATATATAAATAATATATATTTATATATATTATATATATATATATATATATAATATATATAAATATATATTATATATAATATATATAAATAAATATATATACAACATATATATATATATAAGTAATTATATATATATATATATATATATATATATATATATATATATATATATATATATATATATATATATATATATATATATGTTGGTATGCATTTATAAATATATATAAATAATATATATTTATATATATTATATATATATATATAATATATATAAATATATATTATATATAATATATATAAATAAATATATATACAACATATATATATATAAGTAATTATATATATATATATATATATATATATATATATATATATATATATATATATATATATATATATATATATATATATATATATATATATATATATATATATATATATATATATATATATATATATATATATATATATATATATATATATATATATATATATATATACAGTATGTGCCAAAACTGTCACCATGTTTGAACAAAAAAATATTTTATATATGTTTCAACAGAAAAGCTGTGAAGAAAAATGAAATTTTAGTTTTATTAATTAAATTTAAGACTTAGTTAACTAAAAAAATTGCCTTTTGTAAAATTTAGAAGATATTGAATTTTTTTATAATTTTTATGTGAAAAGCGAATTTTGTCGCGAATGAAAGCAAATAACATATTTGTCCACAGTTAATTAGGCATACGACTTAAATTAATACCCTTATGACTAAAATGATTGAGTTATCAACTTTTCACAGATTTTTAAAAAAGTATTGTTATTATCATCACAAGAAAAATAAATCTTGATCTAGAAAAAAACATTGTGGAAAGGCTTAAATCCGGACAATCTTATCGTGAAATCGGTGCTGAGTATAGAAAGTCTCATAATCTCATATATAAAATTAGATTGCGCAATAATTTAGAAGTTAATAAGCCTAAAAGTGGTCGAAAGAAAATTTTTACACCAATAGACCAAAGAACAATCGCTTGTTTAATTGCTTCTGGAGGGTCTAAAACTGCAAAGGATGTTACTAATTTAATGAATAACAGCCATGGGACTCATGCTTCAGTGCGGACAGTCAATAGCGGACAGTCAATAGAGAGCTCAAAAAAATTGGTCTTCGATCCAGAAGGAAGGTCAAGGAGCCATTGTTAGTTTCTTGTCACCGCCAAGCTTGTTTAAATTATGCTAAACTTCATGCACACATGACTTTTGATGACTTTTATGACTAGATTTGAACAGATGAAAGTAAAACTAATATGTTTGGATCAGATGGTATAAGATATACTTGGAGAAAGCCTAATTTACCATTAAGTGCTCGAGATTTTACACCAACCGTAAAATATGGCGGAGAAAAACTCTTGATTTGAGGATGTTTCTGTGCTTGTGGAGTTGGTGAATTAGTAAAAATTAATGGAATAATGAAGGCTGATGACTATTTCAACATCCTTATGGTTGGATATTTCAAGTCCCTTCGAAAATGGGGCAGAACTGTATGTAACATAATGTTCACGCAAGACAACGACCTCAAGCATAAGGCTGATAAGATCATTAAATTCCTTCACGAAAAGAAACTGAAAGTCGCTGACTGGCCAGCACAAAGCCCTTATCTTAACCCACTCGAAAATTTATGGGCAATAGTTAAACAACGGGTCTACAACTTTCCTACTCCACCTAAGAATAAGGATGAACTTTGGGCTGGTGTACAAGAGGTTTGGTACTCAATTACACCCAAGGAATGCCGCAAATTGGTTGCTAGTGCTCCTAAAAGATTCAGGCTGTAATTAAATCTAAGGGAGAGTACACTTGATATTAATTTACTACAATATGTTATTTGCTTTCATTAGGGACAAAATTGTCACCATTAGCTCTTCACATAAAAATTTTTAAAAAAATTCAAAATCCTCTAAATTTAATAAAAAGCAATATTTTCAGTTAGTTTAGTCTTAAATTTAATCAATAAAACTAAAATTTCATTTTTCTTCACAGTTTTTCTATTAAAAAAAACATAAAATATTTCTTTGTTCAAACATGATGACAATTTTGGCACATACTGTATATATATATATATATATATATATATATTACTGCTACGACTGGTAATTATTATGCAATTTTTGCAAAATATTGGCATTGTTTTTTTGTAATTTTAAATTTATATCAGCGTGGAAAATAAGAAATCAAAGGCAAGAGGTCAAATTGACCGGCTAATACATAAAACTGACGGTCAATTTTTTTTTTTGGGTGGTCAAATTTTTTTTTTTCTTTGTTAAAATTTTTATTTCAGTAAATATTCTTCATGACATGTAAATAAAATGAAGACTTGATTTAAAATTAACGAATGCATGTTTCTTTTCAGACAGTTTTTTGAAACTTAAAAATATATTTTTAAAGATACATTTTGTCTGATTCATAAAATTCTAAAGTTTCGATTTTAAATCGATTTTAAATCTAAGGTTTCGTCTGATGACGATTCCAAATCAACTAATGTTTTTATAGTTTTTTTCTTTTCTTTTTTTGAATAAATTTTTGTGTTTTCTTGTGTAGGCCTTCGCAACGCATCTTTGGCCCATAACTCAATGGCAGGATTTACATCAAATTCGTCACTGTTTGTTTCATCTGTGCATATCCAAACTAAATTATTCAGCCGTTTTTTAGTTAATCGATTTTTTGTGTCAGATTTAATTCTATTCATAAGAGAAAAAAGACGCTCAACTTTTCCATTCGAAATAGGCAATACAAACAACAATTCGACAAGAAAAACTGGACTCCACTCTTTTTTTATAGTACTCGAGAAAATTTGATACCATATTTTATGGTACTCAGTTTTATCTGGTGCCAAATATTTGACAGTATAATCAACTAAATTATGCCAAGCATCTAACATATTGTTCACATTCCCAGTGAAGCCAGCATAACGTAACGACATATTTAGTTGATAATAATGTTAGTACCATTTAAACTGAATACTTGTTATTTAATAACCGTTTTATGAAATACTTCTATAATACTATTATATGTTAATTAAAACGAAATTTTATACTGATAATATATAAATGTGTTTAAGAATTCAGTTGAAGAAAAAAAAAAGCAAATGCTTATTTGGTAATTTTAAATTTATCTAAATAATAAAGTTAACATCTTATTCACTTTGCTTTAATCAAACAGAGTCTTTAAACTCAAGTCTTCAACCGCGTGGACGCATAAAACAACTCAAAGCGCAGTTTTTTCGAAACTGCTCAGAAAGAAAAAAACTTCCTCGCCAACTGTGTTGTCAAAGCGTGTTGAATGTTTTGACAACACAGACAACTCAAAGCGTGTTGAATGCTTTGACCTAAAATGCAAGAATTCAAACAACCTCGAAAACTTCAAATACGAATTTTCTTTTCTTCGGCATTAGAAATATTAACGTAATTGAAATATAAAAACTGTATTTTCATCACAGAGCGGCCTGGTGTGCCGCTCTTTTTTTAATAATTTAAAATTTTATTGACTATGAATAAATTAAACTTAAAATAAGAAGAAAAAAAAAGTCATTTGTTAAATGCATTTTGCAACAAAAAATTATGAGAAAAATAAATAAAAAGATATAGAGAGAGCAAAAATAAATTTAGTGCTTAGCTTAAGTCATCAATTATTGTATATTATATTATTATTAAAATAATAATAAAATAAGAACTTAAATCAGTTAAGGAAAAAAACACTCAATAAAATTGGTCTCAATAACTGAAGCAAAAAAATTTATATATATAGTTTACCCCATATATAATACTTGTCGAAGCATTAGCGAGTATTAATAAACGATGACGAATTTCACGTTGCAGCGATGCGAATTTTAATTCGCTTCGTTCCAACAAAGTGAATAAAAGCAATTTTATTAATTATTTCTACTTTAAAAAGTAGCATATAAGCAATAAAATTGTTTTAGACGCTTTATCAAAGTTTTACGGTGTTATAAAATCTAAAAAATTTAAATATATTATATATATATAAATCTAAAAAATTTAAATATATTATATATATATATAAATCTAAAAAATTTATATATATATATATATATATATATAAATTATTTTAAATTATTTTTTTGTTAACTTTCTTAGGTGAAGAAGTCAAGTATAAAACATCTTGTAAAAAGATAAAAACTAATATAAATTCTCGCATAAGATAAAACAGTTTGTCTTATTAATTAGACACACTGTTTTGTTTTTTATATTAACTACAACCCAGAGGTAAAATAAATATTTTAATTATATTAATTATAGTTTAACTCTGATGTTAGGATTTCTTTTTTTTAGCTCCTCGACAAAATACAAGCAACACTTATTGGAAAAATCAACAGTAAATTCAATAAAAACATGCAGTTACTATATAAATATTGATTTAAACTAGTTCTTTTTAAACCAGTCCATAAGAATTGAGTAGAGTACGACGCTTGTCGCTGTTGTTCAGTGGATGCATTAATTATTTCTAAATCAAAACGTGTTTCCCCTATCGCATTGAAAATATTTAATACTTAAAACCCTCAAATTCGACTTTCGTTTTCTGCAGATCTACATCTCTGTCTTGTTGCACGGTTTGACTGAATTGATTACTTTCACGAAGGTTCCCATAGTGATTTAATAATGTTGACAACTCTGCCTTGCCATAATCAATCAGATCAGCCATTTTTGTAGGAAA